TTTTGATCCATCGAGTGAAAACAGCAAACTTGTAGATATATTATCAGGAAAAGGGGTAGCATAAATTATTATAAAATGGGCTTGTGTTGGATCATGGTACCATGATTGAGAAGATGACGAAGAAGGTGCGGCAGAGAGCTCACGCAGCAGAGGTGTACCAGACTTCGCCATGATCCTAGATATCGCCTTTCAAAGTTTCCTCTTTGGTCTCTACGGATCAGAACATTAATATTTTCAATCAGCACAACTTTGGAACCAAAACAAATGAGCATGCCATCAATTGAAATGGACTAATTCTAAAACATATCACCAGAATTCGAAGGTTGCGACAATAGATCTACTCACAATTCATAAAACCAGATAAAAATTAGAAACAACATATAAAACATGAGTTCCGTCAGGAGAAGTTGAACGTTTCTTCAATTGATGACGAGATAATAAAAAGCAAACCCTTGCAAAGTAGTACCCGTCAAAGGCCACAACATGAACTCACTGATGCGAGAGCCGAAACCCACCTTTCTGACACAGATCCACCGCAACAAATCTCGGCACACGAAATCTCACCACGGAGGACGGAACCAAATCAGATCCCCTCCTCCCTCTCAAAATGCGACCCAAATTAGAGCACTATACACACGAGATCTCCAAGAAGAGAAGGAATTGGGAGGCGGCGAGCAACGGATTGCGCCGTGAGTCGATGAAATCGCAAAAAAGGGCCCGGAAGCACTATGAACACAAGCAACTATCGCACCGAAGCTGCAGCAAGACGTAGGTAAGGGCTAATTCCCAGGAAAAATAGAAGCGAGCACGAAATTAAAACCCCAATCGACGACGAACGCGTGCCTTCAGAACCGGAATCGCGGAAAAGGAAGGCGAGGCGGTATGTTCGATGGGAAGCGACGATCGATGCGGGCCTCGACGCTACTACTGCGCTTGGGGGGTTACTTACGGCAGCCACTAATGAGGAAGGAAACGACGTCTCTTCGGATCAGCGGGCATCGATCCTTCCCTTCTCCCTCCCTCTCTCTCTCTCAATCTCCTTCCTCTTTCTCCGAGTGTTTTGCCTGTGGTTTGGTTGGACTGTGGAGGAAGATAAAGGCGAAGAGACTGACACTAAGCAACTACTGCTGCCGCCGAAGGTTGGAGCATCAAAACTAATTGACCAACAACAGGACTCGCTGTTCGTACCCCAAAAAAGAGAGTTTTATTTTCTTTTTAGTTAAATTAACATATATATATATATATATATTCAAATATTAGGATTCTATAAGTCACTGTCATTAATATTTATTTTGAAAAAAAATTAACTATTTATAGTCATGATTATTATTATTAATTTATTTGAGTTAATATTATATAAAAAATATGAATTTATATAGTATGCATATTCTAACCATATTTTTAAAAATAAATAAATAAATATGAGAATCGTTATCAATCATTTTCTTTAAATATCCACTTGCCAAATTCAAATCATGGAATTGCCCCCTTTAAATTGATACTTGCTAGGGAAGAAAACATAGATTTACTTGGGGGGGGGGGCTCATAATATTGGCAAAGGAACAAAAATCTCAATATTATTAGATTTTCTAATTGATTTTCTCGAAAGTGTTTGTATCACTATGGTATTATTTTGATGAAATATTTATTTATATATATTCCATTAAAAAAAGGATGGGCAAATTCACTATGGATTATTTTTTTTCCCATTGAACACTCAGTACTTTTTAATTTGAAGGGTTCTTCTTTTCTTGGTCGAATTCAATGCATTAGAAAATGGGAGCAACGTACTAAATTAATTAATAATGATAATAAAATAACAATAAGAAATAAATTTATTTTTTTATATAAGTTATAAAAAATAGAAAATATAAATTTTATAAATTAATATTTTTGCTATAAAATTAGAAGAAAAAAAAATTCTAAAAGTGATTTAAAAAATTCTATTTTGAATTTTATTAAGTATATATAAAAATATTAAAAAAATATTTGGAGTTGAGAATTCTTTGCCAAATCGTTTTCTTTTTTCGTTTAAAAGAAAGCTCATTTTGAGATAGCAATAAAAATAACATGAGAGAAATAAACTACATATCTAAATCATGGGTTCAAAAGATCAATAGATTAAAACATTAATTTGATTATCAAACATTGAGAACTTTAAAATCTCTTTTAATGACTTTTTACACTTATCAAACATTATTAATGTGGTTGTACTATATTTTTTGGATTTGATTAGCTAAAAATTATGCAAGTATTTGAAGTATTAATCTACGAGAATATTATGGATAGAGGGTGACTTTTACTAACCTATTAATGCTGAATTTGATGCTCAAATTCTTACAATCTATGATATCTCCTGCATTTCAATTACTAATATTTTCCAACTTCCAAAAATTGACTTATATTATTCCACACAGCAATTAGTGTTATTGGTTGAAGCAATTCCGATATTATATTTATTTAAAATAAAATATAAAAAAAATTATAGTTGAGATTTCCTATCTTCTATTTAGGGTAATATTTTTATGTTTCATATTTGTCTTGACCAAATTTATCCCCTCCCCTTCACCAAATAGAAGTACTAAATCTTAAATAATCAATTTAGGTTAATAAATTAAACTTGACATAATAAATTTACCCTCTTTAATATTTATCCCTTTAAATTTGAATTTGACATACATACATACATACATCAGTTGATATAAATTAGTTTATTAATCTTAAATAATCAATTTATGTTAATAACCTTTACAAACTCATTTTTGTGATATCATTTAATCATAATTAGAATGATTAAACAAATATTTAAGATGACTATCAAAGATAATGCGATATATCAAGCGTTTTGACATTTGAAGCAACATATATACTATACTATAATTCACAATGACAAATATATTATTTTCAATATTTGCAAAGATGTATATCTTATACATTTGTTTTTGATAAATCATGAGATGATCTACAAATCATACAATCTCACAAATCAGAGTTAATTGTCAGAAATAATATTAGAAAAGAATAATGATATTTCTCAATAACATCAATAGGAAAAGGAATGATGGCTATCAATGACTCATTTAGCGATGAGTGTGATGAAATAGTGAAGAAATATCCATTTGTTATCAATGCTCAACATTTATCTATTAATTAGATTGGACCACATCAGCATATCCACATGGATGTCTGCATCTTGCATCCACATCACCTCCACACTGTTTCGATCAAGATAAGATCTAAGAAATATAAGCCTCAAATTGATAAGGAATGTCATTAATATCAATATCGATAGAAGAAATAGTCGAGATTATAGGTTAATCTCTTATCGTAAAAAAACTTTATCGATAAATGTTAATTGATGGACTCTATCAAGAATAATCAAAAGCCTCAAAACACAATTAAGATTTATGATAAATTATGCGAGACGAGAGACTATTCTTGGTTAGATTTACTACCAATAATTTTTAGAATATATGAGTGGAAAAAGATTTTGACCTTTTTTTTTTAATGTCAGCTAGCCTTAGTTATGTTTATGCATTTCCCTTATTTATATACAAATACACAAACATGCTATTAGTATCAAATTTTGATCATCGATCCATATTATGGAGTGGAGTCCTAATAACTAGATTTTCGAGGAAATGTAAATAGAATTCAGCTAATATATATTAGTATGTTTTCATTGCTATCCTAAAAAAAATAGTTTTTTTAAGAGCAAACTTAATGTACATGTAGAATAGATTATAAAGTCAAGAAGATTCATCCAAATGTCTGTGATCATAATCTCTTGTTTAGTCTTATTTTGTGTAGGGATGCAAAAGAGGATGATAAAAGTTAATAAAAGTAGAAACTAGTAAATAGATATCTTGTAAGCTTTAGAGGCATATCATAATTAAAGTTATTAATAATAGTTCATTTAGTCCCTCTTTATTCTTTTCCTTTCTTTTCTCTCCTCTTCTCATGTGTGTTCTCTTCCTTATGTCTCTTTCTTTCTCTTCCATAAATCACATCAATGTATCCTCATTAAGGTTATCTAATACATATTCATAAATAATATTCAAACATGACTTGATTCGATTGTGTTTGGCTTGATAAGGATTCGATTATATATAATACATCATATATATAATTATCTGCAAGATTTTCTACTCCTAACTATTAGATCTTGGAGTAATTAATGATTTATTTATCCTCTCTCTCTCTCTATACATATAACCACATCTAAAGTATACTATGAAGAACAAAAACTTAGCTACATTAAGATGAAACAAACAAAGATTACATGAGATGTTGGTTGTGGGTGTAGTATTATCCCATTTTTCTCTTTTATTTTGCTTCTTCTACTGGCACCTTAGTTGTTTGTTGTTGACCCAACATTTGACTTCACTCTCAACTTATCTGATTTCTTTTTTGTCACTTGTTGGAGGAAGTAAGCGTTCTATACCACAGGTTTCTATCAAGAACATATAAAAAATTAGTAGTATATTATATTATAATAGTTATGGTTTGGTGATCCAAGCTCAAGCAAATATCTTAATTTTTTGAATGACATTGTTGGTATAAGCTAAGAAATGGATCTGATGCAGTGAACGAGAGATCAACTTGGTAGGTGTGAGGCTAAAGGAACAAGCAGGTGGGTAATGGGAGGGTGACATGATGAGTTCATGTCTCCTTGACATGGGAAAGAGTCTGAGGTGGATAGAAAGAACCTGACCAATCTGTAGCATCCAAGTCTTTATTGCTTTTGTCTGTTTGCCTGCCGCCATGCTGTTGTTGATAAGTGGGGACTTCTGCACCCCCAATCCATTCCTCTGCTTCTTTACATTTTGGTCAGGTACATGCTGCAGCATACACTCAGATGTGTTCGTTTGCAGCTGGAATCAGATAGTGCAAGCCATGAAGAACATATCAAGTTCAAACTAGTGATGTGATAATTTATCTAGAAGAATTGTGGATAACGTCAAAGACAAAAAAGGATCACAAAGCTTTGGTTACTAGAAGGTGATTCATCTTGTTGTTGAAGAACCAAGAATAAACAAAGATCTCATTTTGCAACAGGAAGCTCAATGTGGTGGAGTACCAAAAGAAATGGGCAATGGCGAACCCTGAGGTCAGGCAATTCAGCCATGAAACAGATAATGAGCGGCTGTCAGCTGGCCGGCAGATAACAAGATCAAAGCTATGACTTGCGAATTTTGTTAGACTATGCTAACAACGTACAAGGATCTATATAATCAACGAAACAGCTTCTTCGATCTATGTTTGATTGTTGCCTGATGAGGATCTTAGTGATGGATGAGGGTTAGTAGCAGAACTATTTGCTATCCCAGAATTGAACACAACATTTTGAGAGGAGCCTGGAGCAGGGTGGATTGCAGAGAGAGGTAACCGGGGACCAAATGCAAACATTTGCTGCCGTTGCACGAGTGGCATCTGATGATGGCCCGGGAGATTGTTGTCGTACGCAGCTTGTGGCATATTCACCTGTCCGACCAAGGGTGACAAGGCTGGCTGTCCGGAATTTGCATTTACAGCAGCTGGTGCTGTGGTTGTCGCTCCTGCCGATGATGGTATATTATTTGTGGTCGATCCAATACGGGTGGACATCATACGGACCCGTTCAGCCGAAAGCCTTTGTCTCATCCTCTCAGCCTGTTCACATTCCTTGAGCAGTAAGGTTTCCACTTCTGCAAACTGTTTCAGCTTCAGCTCCAACCTCTTCAGCTGCATAGAAATAATCCCAGGAGATGTGAGATCAAAACTAACCTTGGAACATTATAAAGGCACAAAACAGCATTGTAATCTAGCAGAAGAAACTAAGCTAACCACAGAAAAATCTAACTCCATGGAAATTCTTCACTCATCCAAAACTGCAGGTACAGATATGATCATTTTCATCAATAAACTTCCATCTTAAGATTTGGCTGATGCATCGCAATTACAACAAAATGCAAGTTTAGAAGTTTCAATGCTTGAAGACCAACCTACCACAAGTATATTCATTTTTTTAAAAATTCATCATTCAGAGCATATGCTCCAAAGATTTATTTCTCTTTTAATTGGGTGATTTGGTTATTTACGAATTTGTTATGGTAAAATTTATTAATCATATTAGGTAATTTCTCATAGTTTAATTTCAATATTTACAAAATCATAAAATTCTAATAATGATCAAATATTCTACATTATTATGTAAATTTGTAACCTTGTTAAAAATGATTTGTTGCTTTTCCTTAATTTTTCATTTGATCACATGGAATTAATTGACCAATCTTACCATTGGGCACATTTTTGATAGGATTGTGGGACTGTCAATGCCAACACTATGGAGGATGTGAACCTCATCTGAAGAAATTGCTGCCCAGATTCTATCACATACACTATATCCAATGACTGCGAGGAAAATTGATTCATCTTTTCCTTGACATATACACAAGCTCGAAATCATCTTTCATGCAAACATTTTGGGGAACTGATCTATATCCATCATAGACATACGTATGGGATTATGGTATGTAAATAAGGACAAAGAGGACGAGGCTAAGACAAATCTGTTTGATTCCCAATTTATCTCCGAGTCAAATTTACGGTTAACAAGCTATGCATAGTTAGGAATTAGAATGATCCATTATTTAATGAGGCACGAGATCCACCATATCCATTGAAGTTCATTTTAGAACAGATGGCGGAGGTCAGAATGTAACCAACCTCTCGTAACAGTGGTTCCATATGCGGACAAAGATGCTAGATTTGATCACCTTAGGTTATTGATGATAACATTTCTTTTCTCTTTGATTCAGGTCTTTCAAAGATCCCGAATAATGATGGTGACATCAATAGAGACAAAGGTGACTAGGATTCCTATGCTCTGGCAACCCAGAGAGGTAGAACACTGATAAAGGAGCAAAGATTTACTCATACCACTTAATATCCAATATAATTTATGAGAGGAAGGGAAAAACAAGATCAATTATGACTTTGAAATTACTTTAAGATGAGAGAGAGTATGATCGAATCTTACCAGCATGGATTTTCTGAGCTAAAGTAGGAACCCAGCAACTAGTCTCAATTTCTAAATCAAAAAACTAGTCTCAATTTCTAAATCAAAAAAATCCTATTGTCCAAAAGTGCAGCAGACCGGTCGGATTGCTAGTACTCGACAGCCAACATGGTCATTTGTACCCCCACAAAACCTTGCTTTCCCACTATATGTGCACACATCTGGTCAACGAATACACTTTCGGAATATTGTTCATCTGATAAACAAGTGGTGCAGTGTTTAATAATGTCATATGACATGGGAGCAATATCATTTCTATAACAACACCGACCTTTAGTCACATGTATCTCCCAAGGAGGAACACCATTCATTTTGACGTCAGTAGAAAGACAATATGACATGTATTCTATGTGCATATTGTTAATATGTGATTATCGAAGTTTTAATCTCATTCTCATGTATGATGTATGACTATCTTATATGTATGATAATTTTTATATGCGTACATTGTATAATTGCTAGTTTTGGTTTTTCAAAGGCTTCACTTTTGCTCTTTATAATATGATTAATAATATGCCATAAGCAAATACAAAAAGATTGGATGTTGAATATACATGAAAAAGGAAAAAAGACTGGCCCACCGTTGTACCAACCCATGCTAGCACACGATACAAATAGATGATGGTGTCCATATTGGTCCAACAGTCAAATGATACTATTCTTGGACCAATATCTGAATCTATAATTCTAAACATCAGTTTGTAAATAACCTATCAAACATATAGGTAAAATAATCAATTAATTGCATTGAAAGCACATTTGGCTTTCCTTTTCAACCATTTACTCTAATTTATATAGTCAAATCTCCCAGCAAATTTAGATTTATCAAAACTGGCTAAACTCCAATTGTTTGTCTGAGAGAATTAGCAAGTGTAGTGTCTTATAAACCATATGAAAGCAGCATATGCTAAAATCTAACCTGGTGATTTATGATAGTAGCAGCCAACCTCTGGATTTCACGCTCCTCTTGATCTGCAAATAGTTTTGCTTTCACTGCAGCTGCGGATAGACCATACATGGCAGCATATTTCACAAGGTCAGGAGCAGGAGAAGTAGCACCATTTTTAGCATGTCGCACTTGACCATCGGTTCCATCTGACAACAAAATCAGAAGTGAGAAAATTTTCACGATTGTGAGCTAGAACAGAAATGGCATCAGATGTATACCTTTCTGATGGCCCAAGTTTGCATGTGGTCTATGAATACCAACTTCAGTATGCGAGCCATCAGATCTGATCCATTCAACAAAGTCTCAATTAAGGTTATTGGGTGTCAAACTCTTTTGAGTGTCAATTTGCACATAAATCAAGACAAAAAACTAGAATGACAAACCTAGATTGGGACAGGGAAAAATCCTGAGCATGTATAAAAGCAATCCTCAAACGTATATAACTGCTTTTAACATGCTTGACGGCACTAAGATATAGATAAAGCAAGTAACATACTGTGATAAATCCTGAGCAAATTGGCATTAATAAAGCATGTACCAATCCTATTAATGACAGAAATTTTTAGCACAAACCTGCAATCCTCTCTAGTCAAGACAGATAGTGCTGCACTTGCACAGGCTGCTGCAACTCTTGGTCCAATTGCAGAGGTTAAAAAGGCAACCTGTAAAATTTCACAATGGTTAGACAAAATAATATACTTGAACCTTACAAGTAGTAGATATTTCCACAAGCAGCAACTCAACAATTAGATGTAACAAGTTCTGAATATTCTTAAAGCAAAACATTTGCCATTTTCTAATTTGTTTTACCCAGATAATATGATCGTTTTAGTTGTAAAATTACAAGTATTTTCTATTAGGGTTATGACATGGATTAAAGTCTCAATCTGGTACTAGTACCAACTGACAGCCAGATCGACGGGCCGACATACAACACTCGTTATGTGTCACTAGTTGGTATCACCCAAACCAAAGACAAGGAGAGAAAAAAAAAGACAAAAGAGGAGGAGGAGAAAGAGGAGGTGGGTGGGACAAGATATGGCCGGGAGGCGGCAGGTTCCATAGTTGTCAGGTCTTCAAATATATATCATAAAATTTAATTTCCTAGATCTAGGACTCATAGAACCAACAATAAGCATATATTCTCTGAGGTTCCTAGTTTGCATATATTTGTAGTTTGCAAGATTTGGCTGTTAACAAAATCATATTGAAGTATCATGTATTCACCAAGGTTGTGTAATCATAGCAGACCAGAAATTAAAGCAGCCAGTTTGTTGATACACTTTTTATATTTGAAGAAAATCAAGATAAAGAAAGAATGTCATCATAAATATACACAACCAACAAGTCATCTGCCTGGAGCTGAATTCATGCGCTACATTCATTATATTCTTTCATAATAATAAAGCACAAGGATGCACATAGGCACAACAACTCACCAAGGACATAACTGGATTAGCAGAATTTGCAAAAGGAAGCTGGTTAGTGGTAGTGAAATCTCCATTGCTTAATCCTAAGATACACCACCGGTAAAAAAAAAATTTAACCAAAGGAATAATTACATGATCTAAAAATAATATCTTCCAACAAGCTCCAAATGGATTCTATTAAAATTACCTTCAACATTACCATTAGAATTTGAATTTGAAAGCCCAGGATCATGTCTGATCGAGGAATCAGATATGGTCGGCATATGTGGAAGTTCAACATTTTCCAATAGACCATCTTCTGTTGGAAGGCGAAGGAAATGGCAAATACATTGTGCCTTTGACTTGGTGCCTACATATTCTGCAATTTCATTCCAGTTGTCATTATATTTTTCTAAAGCCTCAAGTAACAGCAATGTTTCCTGATCTGTCCAGCTATCCCCGTCGATATCTGAATTATCCTTTTTCGAATCCATTCTTGTGAAGTCTAGGCTTGAATGACCAGTGACAAATTTTGCATCATGAAAGCAGTCTGCACAAAGCATGATATCCACCTGTAGGAACAATTATGGTCAACAAACAAAGCTTACTATAATAATATAAGCATTCAAGAGTATAGAAAATTACCATTATATTTAATGCCACAGAACATTTCTCTATGTTCATTCAAAAAATCTAGCAGCTAAGTTACCAGTAAAATACCCTCCTGGATCAATCATAACAACTTGAAATACATAGCTCTAACCACTTAGCTAATGGATTAATATTGATTGAGCACATAAATTCAAAAGTTAGGGAAAAAAGAATAGGGCATCGAATGCTTTGCCCCTTTCTCTACAGATTTGAGAGGCAAAATTGAGATAGTTACATCACACAAAAAATCCAAATTCCTCAAATCAAGCTATTAAGAAAATTGTACTTCTTCTCAATTATCATTTTCAGTTTCTTAATAAGAAGGAATAGCAACTGATATAAGAAAAATGGATTAGGCTGTAAAGATCCAGACAAAATTTTTAACATATAGACAATAAACTGTATTAAGTATGCTATGGATAAATGACATGTAAAGATCATCTAGAGTATAGACTCAGGCTAACTGTAATATTGACCAGTAATAAGCCCCCATCAGAAACACAAGATTAGCTATGAGCAAGATAATCAAGTGCCTCAATACTGAAACTTCACTGGAGACCTCTCATGACAACAAATGAAAATCTTCAGGACAACACTCCAAACCTCCAGATTATTTTACATTAGCTCATAATCAGGCCAAAAGAGTTGTAATGATAATGACAACAAAGAATTATGGTGATGCATTATTATTATGATCAAGCAATTTTTGACACAAAATAATAATAAGATTCAGTGACAGTCACACTATTGAGAAAACTAAAATAACAATCATATAACACCATACTCCAGTGTCCTATAACATTATCCAGCATGTACATGAATATAGTACAACAGACCTCCTGTGTAATATAAAGTGAAACAGACCTCCTTCTGTGATTGATAGTGCAAACTGGTCAGGGGGCAAGAGCAGAAGTTGCAGGAGTGTTCAGCAAACCGTTCCCTAATTCTACCATCCAAATCCACAATACCAGCATCAGAATCTGTTGATGCAGAATGAGAAAGGAAAGCAACATCCTCTAGCCTTAGGCTACATTTTGGTCTGTCAAACAGCATCAAACTGTCTATTGATCTCAATGGTGATGTCTGAAGCTGTAGCTCCCCACTTGCTTCCTCCCTAACAAGTGACCCAGCCATCCTCAGCCCACGATGAACTGAAGAAGCCGCAAGATAATTAATAATTCCCCAATGGTCCAGAAACCTCACGATCCGACTAAGATCATAAAGTTCATTGTTCGGAACCAATGCTTGGCAATCAGCAAAAGATAGCCTCTTTCCCGAATTTTCCAGGTACTTGGAAATTATCTTGTTTCGAAGGCCTATGTACCTCTCTGGGGTGTGATCGCCGGACGTTCCGGTAACAAAGTGCGGCACCACTTGCCTCTCCAAGCGGTTCACAGTGCTGGCTGAAAACCAGTCTAAGAACTCAAAAAAAGAAACTTTTTTAGCAAAGATTCAACGGTCGGGAGAGTGAAACGAGAAGAAGGACAAAAGAACAAGTACAGCTACTACCAACCGGAGTGCACTGGAACGAGGAGGAGCTGCTCCTTGCCGAACCGCTTCACTACTCCCTTCCCTTCCATGAGAGGCGGAGGGGTGCAGACATAAGACGAAGAATTATCAAGGTCCGGCTGCTGCTGCAGCGAAGGGTTATCGGGGAGCACCACCGAGAGGACCTGCAACTGGCCGTGAGAGATGTTCTCCAAACAAGGCGGAGCCCACGAGCGGGCAGCGTTGGAGCGCTCGGCAGCGACGAGGGCGAGGACGGAAGAGTGGGGGCGATTTACGGAGCGGCGGACGGCGGAGGGGAAGTCGGAGACCCGGTGGCCACCGCCGGAAAGTACCTCGGACTCACGGAGGTCGAGGACGGGGTCAGCGGCGGCCAGGATTGCGGGGGAATCACGGCCGTCATCCTCCACCTCCTCCGCGGCAGCGGCCGCGTCCTCGTCGTCGTCATCCTCATCGTCCCGCATATTCTGCCGCCTGGGGTTGGCGTCGCGCTTCCGCTTCCGCTTGCGCCATTTGAGCCGCGAATCTGACGCGATTTGATCTCGGCGTCAAAAGGAAGCGAATGAATGGGGGATTTGGTGAAGAACAAAAAGAAGAAGGGGAAACCACGATGAGAAAAGATAGAGATTGAGAACGAGAGTCGTAGGGTTTACCTGAGGATGGGAGAGAAGGGGAAGCGGGCGACATGGGCGTGAGCTCGTGGAGGGCTCGGGACGCGAGCTTGATGGCACAGAGCGGAGCCGAAAAGGGGCGAGGGGAGTAAGACGACCGGGAGTCAGCGTATCCTCCTCACCCATGGAAAGCTACTCGTGTTGTATGTACTATTTGCATACATGCCCCTATACCATTTCAAATTTATTTATTTCCTCAAAAATGTAAAATCATGTTGAAATATGATGTAATATGCAAAAGAATAAAAGACATGTTTAGATATAGCAGCAATAAAAGGTAAAATTAAAAAAATCATTAATATTATATACTTAAAGTCAAAGATATCAAAAAGTTTGATGCTTAGATAAGATAATTTGAAAACAAGTTACAAAGTCAGTTCAACCCCTTCCACTTATTCATGAAGACCTCGGTGGTCCCAAATAATTAATGGAAGTAGCTATTTATACAAAATTAATTATATGTGAAGGTACTAAAATGCCAAAATAATAAGTCTCGTAATACTATGGTTATATATATATATATATATATATATATATATATATATAGT